GTGCCTGAACATATATATACCACATTGACATTTTAGGTTAAAAGCGTGTCTAGATCTGTGTTGCCTGTAGCATGTGGTGAGTACTAAAATAGTAATATTTTACTGGATTGTGAACGTTTATATCTGGAAAAGAGCAACAAACCTTAATGGAAGATCATTTAAAAAATATATAAGTAGTTCATGACTGTAGCTGAAAAGAACATCCATTCAGTTGTCATACTTCTCTATAGGAATTATACAATCGGTTCTTTGAGAGTATTTTTTAATATAGTAAAACAAATCCTTTTCCGTGCCTTTAGCTTTGTCATTTCTACCTTTTGTTTACTCTTTTAATTCCTATGTGAACTAAGACTTTGCAGCAGCGGGAGTCATAGATTAAAGCACTCCACACTCAAAGAAAGATGTATGGAGTTAGACACTGACAAGTAAAGCATTTAAACATGCCAAGATGTGTAAACACAAATTGGATTCACTCATTCTCCACCTCTTTTTCTGTCTTTTTTTGCTCTTATTCAGCTCTTAAGATGAATTTCCCTGTGATCATGGTACTGTCTCTCAGTCCCTTCTGGCTAAAATAAGAAATAGCTGTTTTTTTAAGATCTCTCTGTATTGTACTGGCATGAAAGCCAATGATGTGAAAAAATCTATCATTTCAAGACCAGATGAAGAGAAGAGAAAAAAACATGAAGGTAATATATTGGTCTTTCATAATAACAAAGAAGTATCATAAACTTTCTTCTGTCCCGCCAAATTTCCATCAAGCTGGCAGATTGATTAGGGTGTCTAGCGAATATTACTTGGGCTACACTTGTTCTATGTCGTCATAGGATTTATTTATAAATGCTGCTGAGAAAAATCAATGAACGCAGAGCTGTAAATCTGACTTTTAGAATCCAGGCTTGGAACCAGATGCTTTAGTACCACTGAGCTGGTGAACAGGGCGGCTTCAAATCCCCCAAGATTTATGACATGACTTGTTCAGTGTCCTGCCATCCATTATAGGACAGGCCAAATCTATTGTTTTCACAAGATGGTTACAATATAGATTGGCATCACTTAAACTTCCTACATATGAAAACCACACTTTTTTCTTGGCATTTTCAAAAAACATATTTTTGCGTAAAGAAGCACTTGCACGTGTTCTAAACAGGCAGGATGCACTTTGTAGTCTTCTATCATATAAAGCATGTCACATTTAATAAATATTAATTCACAGTTATGTCACTAGTGTGTGTGAGGAGTTGGAAAGGATGCACAAGATTAGTTTCCAGATTTTTTTAACGTTACATTAATCCTGCAGTGGAGTGGGTCATTGCTTATCTAGTACCAGCTGTTGACAAGATGCTTTTCAAAGGCTGGCTCATTCACAGCTGTGTCGCTGATAACAGGCCCTTTCTGAAACCCACCACCTATCATTTTCATCGTTGCTTTCTTACTCTGGCTGTCACTATGTCGTATTTAAGACTCCTTGTTCATCTTTTTAATGCGCATCAGTACAGATTAGTTGCTTCTGCTCAGAGTAATCCCTCCCTCAAACAGCATAGCTGGCTCTGCACAACAGTTCTCATTGTCTGTAGCTCAACTACAAGTTTAATTTGGCATTTTAACCTAATGTGATGCACACCTGTGGCAGTAGGGTTAGGATGAAAGCACTAGGGGGAGGTAAACCTTTCAGAACAAGTCACATCTGTGTGGAATTACATCAGTAACTGCTGCTCCCATAGACATTATTCCACCATTTTCACTTGACTGACAAAAACCTTGATTGGAAAGGGTTATCATTAAGCTTGATGCACGTGGCTAGATATTTGTTTGGCTTGTCAGTGACTGAAGCTGTTGCTTCAGACAGTGTTTTAATTGCACCAAAAACTCAACACAGTATTTGTTAATACTGTTATTTGCAGCAGTGCCTGGAAGAATACAGGGTGCTGTCTTTAAAGTAAAAACTTTTTGAGAAGGGCAGGGTCGTTTGCTGTTCATCTGTCATGAATTTTGAAAACTACACTGCAAGCATCTTCAGTTGTGGCTAAATTACTTGAAATGGCTGTGACTGCGGATGTGTGCTTTCATTGATTGTACGTGCAATTTTAAGCACAAACTCCATTCTTAATACAGCAGGGATTCTGTCCTGTGTTGTTTGTCCTCTAAAATGCACGCAGACGTTTTTTCTTCACAGGGGCCGTAGAATCAAACTGCAAACACTGAAAGTAAGAGAAGAGAACCGTTTAGCTTTGTCCAGTTTTTGGCAGTTACGTGTTTGTTTTTAGTTCCTCACAGACTAGACACATTCATTGTGGCTTTACTTGTTTGTGCCGATCCACACCAATTGAGCACTTAGTGGTGGCAACATCCCAAAGGAGGCAATTACGGTCCATTCCCTTTAACAATTAGTGTGATCATCGATGTAGGATAGGACAGCTCTCTGAGCAGCTGGGAGGAATAAATCAAAGGAGAGGAAGGCAGGTGGGATTGTACATTTCCATTTTGTGTCTTCTGTAGATTTGTGTTCATCTGTGTGTCATGTTGAACAAGCATATAGCCATTGCTCAGAGCCAAGGAGGTGTATAATCTGCACAGTGGGAGAGTTCTGTGCAATTTTTGGAGTGAAGTCGTTTTCCATCTGTTCCTTTTATACCTTAGTAATTTTACTCAGAATTTAACATAATAACTACATGCTCTGAAAAACGGTTTAAAATGTAATATGCAAATACATAGCCCTTTATAAAGGTTAAGGTCAGCCAAATGATTGAATAACAAACAATTTTGGAAGTTTTATGCTCTTTTCTTTTTTTATTAAAGCATTAAATATTTAATGTCTACTCATATTGTCAAAATAACTTATATTTCACGTTGCCTTATAGATAGAAGACAACACTTGAAAAATGTTTGTCATTGATTTTCTTTTCAAAGCAATGCCCTTCTTTCCTAAATAATGCATACCTGACTCTGTGGTGTAAGAAGCCTTCAGACTGAAAACAGGGCTCATTGAGTGTGCTCTCTGTCTGTGGGAGACAGAGATGTGCCAGGAGTAAAGCTGTACAGTACATCATTCATCTTCATCTGATGTCAATTTAACCCTTTAAGGCCTGCTCCAAGAAAAAATAGTCATTTGTTCATTATTTTTTTTCTGAATTCTTTATTTTGCCCTCTTTTTGGCCCGTACATTTTCTCTTAACATAAAGTTTACCATCATGCAAATAATCCCTAATTGGCAATGAGTGGTTAAGAAACATTTGGACTAGCAATTTAGAACAGAAACCTCTAGATGCATATACAGATTCAAATAAAGATTTCTGTTTTTTTAATCAGACCCAACAAAACCTTCAGAAATTACTACCAATGGACACATTGGAATCAAACTGAGATTTTTAAAGGTATCTTTAGATATGCAGTATGGTTTATTTATTCGCAGGGCATCTTCAAGTATTGCTCTTTGTGATGCTGATTTTTAGTGACCGTGCAACTGTGTGTGCATTATTTCCTGATATAAAAAGAAATGGTATGCTATAGTGGACAAATAAGGAGTAACAGTGACTGAGTTGGGGGGAGACCCAGGTTGCTGGACTCAATGCATGCCTGTCTGCCTCCATCATGCTCATGTGAACAGCAGGCGCTCCACAGGATGTGTCATGTCATTATTCACCACCAGGGGCCAATGAACAGAGAGCAGCAGAATGCTCTCTAAACAGTGTTATCCCTGAACGAGGGACGACCAGGAGGGTGTGTGTGTGTCTACATGTTTGTGCATTAGCCTGTGTGTTTCCGAGAGAGTGAAGGTGAGCAAATAAGAAAGCAGCAAAAAAAGATTTCTGTATATGTGAGTGCTCAACATCCCCCTGAGGTATTTTTAGAATTGTTTTTCTCACATCTTCTCTGAAGTCTCTTTTCCTGTCTGAGCACGATAAGGTTGTGCCATGTGTCCCCACTATTGAGAAACATACTCCCATGTATGCATTATACTAACATTTACAGGACTCACATTGTCCCCACCAATAAATCATTTCCATTCTCCACATCTGAAATATTAATATGCGACTAATCGAGCTCTGCATCCTCACTACACAAATGACACACGCAGTCAGTGGTGTGTAAGACAGAGTGGGACTCTATATGCCTTTAACCTTTCAATGTCCTGAAAAGTTAACTTATTCAGTCTTTAAATCTAACATGCACACTTGTTACCTTAGTGCATGACCAATAGGCATGAATCTGACATGACATGAAACATTACTGTCAAGAAATACTGGCACAGACTTTAGCGCGATTTATACCTTCATTTTTAAATCAGTTTAAGTAGCCTTACCTTGTTGGCTGCCAAAAGACAACAGGGAACAATGTCTCTAAAAGCTATCACTTTGAGTGATGTTAGGTGTCAAATGATTTTTTTTTACAGATTATAGTCACCTGGCTCCAAAAAGACTGTCAATGCAGTTAACCTTTTTTTGTAAAGGAAATGTCCTAAAATGATTAAATGTCCCAGAGGTATCTGAGATTCAACTGTGTGAATTCTCTGAAGATATGTTTAGTGCTTTCTTTGCTACCGTTACATACTACTCTCGTATTCTAGTACTCTGTCCTTAATATACAGTTGCCTTAAGAATGAACAGGGAGATGATAACATTTTGAATCTCCCTGTTTTTAAGGGGGACAGATATATAATGTGAACAATAATGATTAACTCACCCTTATCTGTATTTAATTTGAAAATAAACAATTTGTTGGGTTTTGCAGGCCATCTCATTTCTTGATTTCATCTAGCTGCCTGCTTTAAGACATTTATGTCTATACTCAATGCAGCAGTTTTCACCATAGTTATGCAGCTTGTAGTGTTCACAGTGTTACATATTTGTTATTACCTTTGTGATAATCAACTCAGTGATGACTTATGACCAGCTCTGACACTCAAAGAAAATGGAACTTATTTTTAACAGAGGTTGCGTACCAAAAGAACATTTGAATATCACTCATCTTTTTTTATTCTTTCCTTCTAGATCCCGGTAATGACGGGAGCCTTCATGGACTCCTCGCCCAATGATGACTATAGTGGCGAGCACTCACTCTTCAACTCCTCAGCCAGTGTCAACGCGGCTGCCTCAGCAGCATCCATACACGGTCCACAGGAAGAGCCACAGTCTGTGTCAAGTGACGCCATCTGGCTCTGGATTGCCATCATTGCCACTATTGGAAACATTGTGGTGGTGGGCGTTGTGTATGCCTGCACTTTCTGATAAACAGATGCTTACAAAGCCAAACAGCACTCTCACATATCCTTCTTATTTTTTTTGTGTCTGGAAGACTGAACGAATCTCAGTCGACAAGCACACTTCCTCTCTTATTCTTTCTTTTGGATTACTTATGTGATAGTGCATCTACGTTCGGATACATCTCGACAATGACATATAGACCAACATATTTTCTCATCACAGGGAAAGATGGGGATTTGGCAGAATTTATCCTTGGTAGGCAGTTTTAAATGCAGCAGCTCAAACTTTGACCCAAAGCCTATAAGGCGGCCTTTTGTGAAAAACAGAAACTACAAACCTCTGCACACACAGTCATCTGAGGAGCCTTTTTAGGTTAAGTTTGTTTCCATGGTCATTCCCTGACAATAGTCGCCACTGAAAAGTATGCAGGAAAACAGAAATTAGATTCGGTTTGGGATTCTGGTTTAACCAGGTTGGTTTAAACATCCACTGGAAAGTTGCAGAGCAATTAAGGGCAGAGTTGCCCCATGATGTGGCCCATCACAGAAAGTAAATGTTAAAGTATTTGGAAAGTAGTGGTGTTATTTTCATGTAAGGCAGAGTCAAACCTCAGAGCAGAACAACTCATTTTTATAGCTGAATCAGAGTGTGGACACCTTATTTAGTTTATTTAGTTTAATTTGTTAATTTAGCCCAAACCTTTTAAATTCCATCTTTAACATTCTCCAAACCTAATCACAGAAGAAGCCTTTACTTCATTACCCCCATAAATAACATGACCTGGACAGTATTTTTTTTTAAATCAAACAATATTGTGTTGTCTACGTAATTATATATGGATGATATAGATATGATATGATATAGATAGACTTAATGGGAAGCACAAATTAATCCAACCCCTCGTAGCCTTCTTTCCTCTTTCAACCTCTCTTTTCTTTGCAAGTGCAGCTTATACAGGGCATTTTTTGCACTTTTAACAATAGGAGATAAATTTCCTCTTATTTTAGATATGTGGACAGTTGTAGAGAAACAGAAAACAAAATTATGTGTCTAGAAGTAATTCGGTGTGCACCAGACCTAAAAAGCAGAAAGTGAACTTTGTATTAGATGTAAACTAACGTGGGTGTGGAAGTCACGCTAGATATTCAAGTGAAATTTTGTTGTATGTCAAGCTATGACTTTAAAGTGTTCACTGCTCGATTAGTTACTCATTCAGACCTGTTTGGCCTGGGACTCACTGCGTACCTAAATGTGCTTCACAGTACAGCGAACAGGTACAACCTCACTGGTACTTGGTCACGAAAACCTTCGTGTAATTTCTTTTTGCTGCAACTCAACTCTCACATTCTGACCGGCACGGGACAACACTTCAACATAGAAATATCCTTTTTAGTAAGTGATGCATAGGCTGCCAAAATAGTCAACATCAATATGAATCACAGGAGAAGCCTGAACAGGAGGCTGGGGATAGTTACATCCCTCACCAGCATTGGAGTCCATCGTTCTGTTTTCACCCTTGTCATACACAGCTGGTTATGAAGTGAGTCAAAAGCCTCACTGCACCAAATGCAGTAGTTCTTGTCCAAACTATGACTCAAGTATTACCCTACATTAGCCAAAGACTAACTCAATGCTTATCCTATGAAAAATGCCATAGCCACACAAAGAAAACGACTGGTCGATTTTGATTTTGTGTGCAAGCACATATCTGTACTTTCCTGTGTAACAGTTCCTACTTTGACTTTAAAGGAGAAGTAAAGAAAACTGAAAAATACTAGAAATGTTCTTACTTATTATATGTTCAAGTCAAAAAGTTGTTTTAAATGTTAAGTCTTTACATGATACATTTTCTTATGCTTACTTTTAGATAGAGGCTTTGTAAGAAATAGACATCATAACTCTTTGCTCAGTAAACAAATGTCTGTCCTGTGGAAATGTTTTCCAATAGGAATTAATCAGTGCAAAGTCATTACAGTCTTGTAAACGCAATACTTGTTTAAAGTTCTTTCACTGGTAAAGGAGACAAAAACTTCACTGGCTTACTGTATGTATTGTATAATGTAAAAAGAATTCAGGACGGTGATGTGTTATTAGATGTTTACATTGTTCAAAGAAGGACTTTCAAAGCCTGTTATTTTTAATAAATGGTTAATGTGGAAATATTCAAAGATGTAAACCACATACACTATGCTCCTTTTATAAAAACATGTGGTACTATTAAAATTTGTGTATTAATCCATAAAGATTTTTCTGACTACAAGCACACCCTCCTCAGATGCTTAAAGGTTTTGAAGTGTTATTCATTGGAGAACTTCTGAATGGATGAACACCTTTCTTTTGTTATTATGTTTGTTCAACTTTTAATGATCTTTATAAAGCCAACCCTCTGTCACATTTGAGCAGTTGCTGCTGAGCCATCAGGTGAGATATATAGGTAGCTCCCATGGTGCCATCTGTCATAATGACAAAGCCACTGGTTGTTTAAAAACCAGCTGGATTTCACCCTCTGTACGCTCCTTTCCCACTCCGTACCCCTGTTCTTCTGAAAAAATAGAAAGGTTAGGCAAGAGATCCATCCATTTTCAAAACCGCTGATTCCCTAATGGGGTCGTGGGGGGATTCCAGGAAGATATATGATTTTGATTGTATCCACATGATTTTGTTTTTCCCTTCTCCACTGACTGGCAGATTTTCAGCTTTCATCATAACATCATAACATCATAAATAAGAACACACAAAGCTGCAATTATCTCTTGATAATCGATATAAGACAAGTTGGAATGCTTTATATGGTCTGCTGCCATGGCAAATGCAGGCTGTTATGGATTTGATTAGGACCTGTAGAAATCAGCTGAACAACAGCCCAAGAAGCCTTCACTTTCTAACTATCATACAAATATACCTACAAATACAAAACTGTTCAGTGCAGTTTTTCATTAATTTAGATAATTTCTTCTCATGAGAGAGCACAGTGGTGAACATCCTAATGTCTCATTTAATAATCAGATTTAACATGATAATTACAATCATACAAACCTAGCAAAGCATCTGTTGTTTATGTGTATGTGTTGAAATGCAAAAATGTCAACAGAGAAGGGGAAATCCATAGCAAAAATGTAATTTGATGACTCATACAAGTAAATTCTAACAAACAGCTTTCCATCGATTCCTTAAACATCATTTTTGGGGTGACAGGATGGCAAGCCAAATGTAAATGATCCAGGATGTAATCCCATCCCGCATTTAACTTTCCTTTTCTTCTCCACCACCATTGAATGGTGAATGGGTTGTCATGTGTGACAGGGAACAGAGAGAGTCTTAATGCAATCCTGAGGGCTCCACTACCCTTCATACTACTGCTGCAGCCTCTGTGACTGTACTTCATTACTGTTTCTCCATAAAGGGAGCTCATCATCGCTCATCATCCAAAAGCCATCCACACTGTTCTTGGCACCTTTCTCTCTCACTCTTCCAATAGGTGGAAAAAAGGTAAAATATCCGTCTCCCCGCCAACTTTTTTTTAAAAGTCATTTGAAAGAGAGGAGAATTTATGAAGAAGCTGAGCCTTTGATCATGATGGATGTGGCCACCTATGCCCTGAGCCAAATTTTTCAAACATATTGAGCTTATTATTTGGTGACTGGCTTTCACTTTACTGTCAGTTTGATGGAGGAAGTTGAGATTAGGCTAATATACACATCTGTAATTTAGGATTGTATAAACAGCAGTACTGTCATGTTTTACACACACACAAACACGTTAAAGGTATATTTTTTAACAGCATTTCAGATAATTTGCCAATAAAAAAAGCGAAAAAAGTAAGTGCACATATATACAGTAAAGATAGATATTAATAGATAGTAGTCTTTCTCTCGAAGAATTTTGTTTAATGGTCTTATTTAGAAAAACACTGTAATTTAATGGATGATTTTGTATGTGTATCTAACAGGTAGCATGGATTTTAAAATGCTGAATTAAAATGCAACTTTTTTACTGGAAAACAGCTGATTTTTTCAATCTAATAAAATGTTTCAAATTCCAGCAAAAGACCCATTAAAAAATAGAGCATTTTCCACATTTATATGCAGCATGGGTAATGTCCTGTATCATGGGATAGAGAAAGAGATTGTTAAACTGATGTAACATTAAATGTAAACGTTGAAATACTGTGCCCCAGCTTTGCAGCCTCACTAAGTATGTCTGGTAATCAGCATGCAGGACATGTAGCCGGTCACCATGGAGACTGACATGTTTCACTCCAGCTGTCTGATTCACTCATTGGCAGACACGATTAGGTCCCAGCTGCTGGCCGAAATGAAGGAACAATCCACTCTATGGGTAATGGAGGAAGCATTGAAATGAGAGTGAAACGAGACACAGACAGAAAATGGCAGGATGATTGAGATGAGCAGAAATTTCTGTGAATGGAACCGAAAGTGTCAGGATTAACGAACAAGGATGTGTTATGATGGATTTCTGACGGGTAATCACTCAAAGCAAGGCAGAGGTTGATTGATACCGACTGCTGTCATCTTGTGGTCACTTTGAAACATTGTCAGGTTTACAAGGAAGTTTTATCTGTTTGTTACAGTACTAGTATCTTTCATCATGTTTTATTATCCTTGTGGAAAAGGAAAAACAGCACAGCATTAGGATGCTTTTCAAAGATTAAATGAGCAACACATCTATCACAAATCAATCCTGCACAATATGTACATAACACTCATTTAAGGTCATGGACAGCAACAACCAAATGTGAGAAAGTGAGAGAAGGAAAGTAGATTTAGATCCAGAAAAGACTAACTAAAACCATAGTTAACTCCACAAACTTTCCACAAAAGATGTTGGCATTGGTTTGATATAAGGTAAGTTAACTGAATCTTCACCTCTACAGTACTGAATTATGAAACATTTGTCATCATATTAACTGAAAGGAAGTTTGATGATGTTGTAGTCATATTTTGGGATGAAGATGTACCTATCCCAGGGCAAAGAGCAGCAGAAATAAATGAGAAAATGCACAA